GATCGGAGATGTGGGGAGGGGCCGTGGCTGAGTGGCAAAGCATCTGCCTGGCATGCAGAAGGTCCCAGGTTCAATCCCGGCCATCTCCGGGGGTGGGGAGGGAATCAGATTGTGGGTGATATGAAAGACCTCAGCTTGTCCTTGAAAATACTGGTAAATATTTTTGTTCCCTCTTAATAAATCTTGAGGAGCTGCGGCGGCTCAAGTGGTTAAGACGCTGAACTGCAGGCTGTGGAATTCAGCAGTTCGAGACCCGAGTGTGCCGCATGACGGAGTGAGCTCCCGTCTCTAGTTCCAGCTCCTGCCAACCTAGCCGTTCAAAAGCAAGAAATTGCAAGTAGATAAATGGGGACCACTTTGGTGGGAAGGTAACAGCGTTCCGTGCGCCTTGGTGTTTAGTCATGCCGGCCACATGACCACGGAAACGTCTTCGGACAGCGCTGGCTCTTCGGCTTGGAAACGGAGATGAGCACCGCAACCCTAGAGTTGGACTCGACTGGCTTTTGAGCAAGGGAACCTTTACCTTTAATAAATCTTGAAGACCTAAGGTTTAAAGTGCTGGTTCTGTTTGTTTCCGGTGTTCATGCGTCACTTCTCAGGGAGCCAGTTTGATGTAGTGGTTAGGAGCTGCGGACTCTAATCTGGGAGAACCAGGTTTGATTCCCCACTCCTCCACTTGCAGATGCTGGTGTGACCTTCGCTCAGTCACAAGTTCTCTCAGAGCTCTTCTCTCAAGAGCAGTCCTCAAAAGAGCTCTCTCAGCCCCACCTACCCCACAGGGTGTCTGCTGCGGGGAGGGGAAGGGAAAGGAGATTGTAAGCCACCCTGAGACTTCTTCGAGTAGTGAAGGGCCATGGGGTATAAATCCAATCTCTTCTTCTCAGCTGGCCGTGGAGGAGAGCCTCCCCGTGACTCCATTTTACCTCCTCCTGGGGAAGCACCAGCAACAGACCAAAGAGGCTGCCGAAGGCCGGAAGGCACCTGTCCTGAAGACCATGGCGCAAGATTCCCCAGCCATCAAAGAAGTAAGAGGGCAAACCTTCTGTTTTCTTGCTTGCTTAGTAAAGTAGTTACAGCCTGCTGCACCGAAGCAGAGAACAAAATAAGCCGCAGACCCAACAAAATAACAATCTGTAGAAAGTATAACTGGGTAGATTAATCTGTTTTATAGATAGATTCATGGAGGAGAGGTCTGTCAGTGGCTACTAGTCATGGTTACTGAGTGGGACCCCTAGACTTCTGAATCCCAGAGTCAGGAGGCAACATCCAGGGAAGGCCTCGGCCTCTGTGCCCTGTTGTTGACCGTCCAGAGGAACTGGTTGGCCACTGTGTGAAACAGGATGCTATACTAGATGGACCACTGGTCTGATCCAGCAGGGCTCTTCTAATGTTCTTAGGAAGGCCTTGGCCTCCATGCCCTGTTGTTGGCCCTCCAGAGGAACTGGTTGGCCACTGTGTGAAACAGGATGCTATACTAGATGGACCACTGGTCTGATCCAGCAGGGCTCTTCTAATGTTCTTAGGAAGGCCTTGGCCTCCATGCCCTGTTGTTGGCCCTCCAGAGGAACTGGTTGGCCACTGTGTGAAACAGGATGCTATACTAGATGGACCACTGGTCTGATCCAGCAGGGCTCTTCTAATGTTCTTAGGAAGGCCTTGGCCTCCATGCCCTGTTGTTGGCCCTCCAGAGGAACTGGTTGGCCACTGTGTGAGACAGGATGCTGGGCTAGATGTACCACTGGTCTGAGCTGGCAGGGCTCATCTTCTGATCTTATTCCCCTAGAAAGCACTGTACAATTTTTTTTAAAAAAACACACCCCTTCCTAATCTGCAAATAGGCCGAGTTTGGGGGCGCAAAGTGAGATTCCGGGGGGGGGGGGGAGGACCACTGCAGGAGAGTCCATGTTCCAGATTAAGAGCTGGGCCACCAAGGAAGAACAGATAAGTTCCTGTGGCAGAAAAGGGGTTCTTGGGGTATCCTGGGCCCCAAACCCTTCAGGGTTAGCAGGATTTTCAATAGCACCTGGAAGCCAGTGGAGATGCCCTTGTATGTTCCATGCAGCCAAGCTCAGCATTTTGTTCTGTGCCAGCCCCCGACAGCATTTGCTGCCTGAATGTAATATGAAATCACTTGCCCTGACCTGGGTAGCCCAGGCTACTCAGATCTTGGAAGCTAAGCAGGGTCGGCCCTGGCTAGTATCTGGAAGGGTGACCTCCAAGGAATACCAGGGTCGTGACGCAGAGGCAGGCAATGGCAAACCACCTCTGCCTTAAAAACGAGTCTAGCGCGCCCCCTAGTGGTGCATAACGCCAAAAGAGCTATAACTTCTGGTTGCCAGACAATCTTAGGATCTCCTGGCTATGCTACACACACTGCTATAATATGGAAGCAGAAGACTTCTTTAAGGACTGGAAAGACTTAAAAGACTATTTAGAAAATAACTGGGATGTAAAAGACAATTTATTTTGCTTTAATAGTTATTGAATGTTGAGTAATGGTAAAACAAATGGACAAAGGTATAAATGTGATAGTAATAAGTTACCTATTGAGCTCAAATAAGAGGAGAGATGGAAAAGTGATGATTAAGAATTTTGCAGGAGGTCGTAGCACTGTGGGAAGCCATATGAGGGGGGAAGGGAGGAGGGGATGTATTGGGTTAAAATGTGAAGTTATGATGAATTTGATTGATTATATCCTTAATAATAGGTTTTATAAAAAAAACCAAGTCTAGCGCGCCCCCTAGTGGTGCATAACACCAAAAGAGCTACAACTTCTGGTTGCCAGACAATCTTAGGATCTCCCGGCTATGCTACACACACTGCCATACGATAATTAGTGTTATTAGTACTTGGCCATTAATTATTTCAGCCAAGTCTTTTCCTCTCCAGCGGAAGGGCAGGTGGGGAACCAGCCTCAGTGGCTGCGAAGTTCTCTGGCATCGCAGTCCAGAGACCCACGACGAGTGCTGGGAAAAAAGGATAAACACTGAATGGGACCCCTTGACAAAGTTTCCATTTTGTTGAGCCTCTTCTCTCTTTTTTCCCCCCTTCCTTTAGATGCTTCATACTCCAGCCCACGTCTTGCCATCTGCTTCTTTCCTGTGTCCTATTTTTATTAACTCGCTGCTGGTATCCAAAGCAAATAACAGGTAAGAAACCGACCGAGCGATTCCTGAAAAGTTGTGTGTTTGCTTTAAAACGGAGTCCTGTTTTGTTTGGGATGGGCGCCTGGCACAGCGGTCAGGTGGAGCTTGTGGGGGCTCGCCTTTGCCCAGCGTTCTGTCTTACAACGTATGCAGTTTTCTCAGACCTGGCTCCGACTCGGTGGAACTCTCTGCCAACCTCCATCAGGGCCCTGCGGGACCTAATGCAATTCCGCCGAGCCTGTAAGGCAGAGATATTCCGCCAGGCTTTTGGTTGAGGAGAGCAATGGTTTTCCATCACAGCCGGCACCCTCCTTTTTTCCATTCTGCCCACTTCAGCCTCCTCCTTAACCATGCCCACGAGATAGAACAGCCCAGAGTAGGTTTTTGATTAAAATTATAGATGCCATCTGGAGACTATAACTGATTTGTTGATTTTAATCTGTACCTTTGTGTTGTTTCTAACCTGTTGTAAATCGCCCAGAGCCTTGTGTACTCAGGGGCTGGGCAATCTAAAAACTTGTTGTTGTTGTTGTTGTTGTTGTTAATTCATTGTTGTTGCTGTTAATTTGTTGTTGTTGTTGTTCTTATGCTATGCTGGCCTGGCAGACTGGAGACAGAAACTGTGCATTACTTTAGAAAATGTGGGCACCCCATCTTGGATGGTGGCAGCGAACCAATTTTCCTGGTTGCCAGATTGGAGGTCTTTCATCAAGCTATACTTTGGGAGGTCGGGATGGGATCTGGTTGGGCAGGTTTGGCTATAATCCTCCAGGGTTCTTTCTCTTTTTGTACTTATTGTGGAACTTTTGCCCTGACCTGAATAGCCCAGGCTAGCCTGATCTCGATCTCGGAAGTTAAGCAGGGTTGGGCCCAGTTAGTACTTGGATAGGAGACCACCGAAGAACTGAGGGTCACTGCACCAAGGCAGGCAATGGCAAACCACCCCCAAACGTCCCTTGCCCTGAAAGTCCTACAGGTTCACCATAAGTCAGCTGTGACTTGACGGCAAAATCAGCAGTAAATGGAGCTTTCCAATTGGAAGCAAGTTGGGAAGGTGACTGGAGCGATACTGGTTGCGGGGGAGAGAAGCATAGGGGAAAGCCAACAAGAAGACGGTTATTGCTGAAAGTTTTTTTTGGGGGGGGGGGTGGTTTACGAGAACAGCCATGAAAAAATAACACTCTTGAGAACATAGACTTCCTTCTCTTGTTTGTGAATGCACACGCCCTTATAAATGTGGGTCGCAACCACC